ACAATATTTAGTATGCTAATATACTTGAAACACAAGATCAATTTATTTTAATGGCTAATACATCTTACTAATGAACATAGTAAATTTTAGATATAGTCATAGAATGTGTCATAAAATTAAACCGTTAACATTTTTACGAGTCGTACGGTATTTTAGGGTGTAATTAATTTTTGTTTCTAAACAGGATTGATTTGTCATACTGTCACGCTTCTGACTTGGCAAATACTATTGACTACTTATTTGAACTCAATATGATCAATTACGAATGTGTGGCATGGATTGTTAAAAAGCATCAAGTAGGTTGATTCTACATTTAACACGTAATGGTACCAGATATGAAACTGTTAAATAAGTACTAATTATTTGAAGTTTCTAAAAGCTTTTTAAACCTTTGTAATACAAAAAAGATTTCTATGTTTATTGTATCAAACCTCAGAATACCAATGGTACAGTCAGTACTCATAAATTCTACTTGAATTTAAGCCAGATAATAACGCAGTGTCCTTAAAGGCGTTTATTTGATAACAATATCAGATTAGAGCAATGCTTGAGTATTTTTTGGGTTATCTGGTTATAATTTAAGATTTGATAGTGCCGTCTGATAAATATGACTCAAATCTAATCTGGACCGGTATTCTCTTTCTTTAGCTTGAAAGGGATACGTTTTTAAAACGCTTGACGAATCATGTAGTATGGCAAAAGCGTTGAGCGGTTAAGCGTTACTGTGCGAACGCTTCAAGTTCAATCCGCCTGGTACATTTTGACAACGGTGCTTTTTTTCAATGTTATCAATATACTCTCGATTGAGACAGATTTTCGTCTGAAACCTACAGTAAGTTTCTGTCTTCGTCAAGTTGGTAGTTTACACTAGCAAAGAAACTATGGTTGCCAGATGGTCGGGAATAGTCGGGATTGTCCCGACAAATAACAAACTACAAATTTAAAATCACTGAAATTTCAAATTACGCGGTTTAAAAATCACTCCACTCATTCGCTTGAACGTTTGCTCATTTGCTCTCCCCCGACCGTTCTTTTTAATTGGTAATTTTTAATTGTCCGGACAAAATCCCAAATTCTTGAAATGTCCAGATATTTTAGTAGTCCCACCTGGTAACCCTAAAAAAGCAATGCAGACAGTATCTAAAAAAATAATGCTACATTCATAGAAGCATCAATCTGTATATTACATTAATTGGAGGCAGTTTGGCTTATTTATTGACAATATAATAGATAGTTACAGACTTAATTATTTTATAATAAAAGTGCCAGTGTTTCACTACCCTAGTATAATTATTGTTACTTCCTTTTGCTCCGTTACCTACCACGCGCGATCTATAAGCAACTGGTAGAGGTGGTTGCAGCATTTCATCCGAACTTTTCAAATCCAGTTTTCTGGTTTTAATTTTTTTGTACAAATTGAGAATTTATTCAAAAACCACCACAACATTGTATCAATAACACAAAATACTACAGTCATATGCAAAACACCAACCACTCAGTAGTCGTTTTGCAGTCGACAAGCGATTTGCAAAAACGCAAAGTGTGAAACAATCGGGAATATCATATTTAACAAGCACATCGAAATCAAGTGCAAATATCGTCATTTTTGCTGAACGACTTAAAATGCTTTACGCTTTGAAAACCGAGAGTACCGGAATACAGTGTTGCCGAACCGAAAAAGACAAAATCGGTAGACAGTGTCGATGCAATTCGGTGGAATCAAGGGCAAAATCTAATCTGGACCGGTATTCTCGTCATTTAGCTTGAAAGGGATACGTTTTCAAAACGCTTGACGAATCATCTCGTACGGCAAAAGCGTTAAGCGTAGTTTAGGTATTTGAGTTGCTGATTGAGAGAGATGGTCGACTGAACCCTACAGTATAATTTCTGTCTTCGTTAAGTTGCAAAGAAACCATGCTTGCCAGATGGTCGGGAGTCGTCCGGAATGTGCCGACATCTCATCCAATGTCCAGAGTCCCGAAAAAATACAAGTCGTTCCGACAAATAACAAATTACAAATTTAAAATCACGGAAATTTCAAATTACGTGGTTTAAAAATCACTCCACTCATTCGAACGTTTGCTAATTCGCTCCCCGCCGAACGTTCTTTTTAATTGGTAATTTTTATTTGTCCCGACTAACACCCCAAAGTCGCGAATTTTTTAAAATTTGACCAGTACACGTAGTTCATTATTTTTACTTACTTTTGCTCGAGTATTTGTCACACGCGATCTACATACCATATAAACAACTGGTAAAGGTGGTTGCAGCATTTCATCCAAACTTTCCAAATCCCGTTTTCTGGTTTTAAATTCTTTTTTTTTTCTACAAATTGCGAGAATTCAAAGGGGTCATCGGCATCGAATATTTGCCTTTCCAAGTTTCAGCTTCCAATATTTCTATTTTATAGCCAATATAAGCTGGTATGTCAATAGGTACTGGAAATTTATTCAAAAACCACCACAACATTGTATCAATAACACACAGCACCCTAGGTATAAACAAAAAACTCAGATAGCCACCCACTTAGTAGTCGTTTCGAAGTCGACAAGCGATTTTCAAAAACGCAAAGAGTGAAACAATCGAGAATATCATATTTTACAAGCACACTGAAATCAAGTCGTCGGTCTCCGCATGTACCGGCGTAACTTACATTTTACAAATTTACAGAAGAGCTAGAAAACGAAAATCAGCAATAAATAAGATTGAAAATGACATACCGATTGTTTTATCTGCACGTTGCTGTTTTTTTTTGTTAGACTAAAATTATGTAGAACTTTGTTTTGGAATAGTTTAATTTTGTAAAACTAAAATGAGTTTTAGCAGAGGCGTAAGTCTATTTAAGGTGGTACGTTTTCGGAATTTTAACACTTGCCCAATTTTTTAAGAATATTATTTCCAAGCAGCGACCTGATATACAATTATGCCACTTCGTGAGGTGATAGACTACAAAAATATGTAAAATTACGGGGTAACTCTTATTTTAGATTTTTTTTGTCATTTACGCCTGTACCTGCGGAGACTGACGAAGTGCAAATGTCGTCATATTTGCTGAGCGACTTAAACCCTTTGCGCTTTGAAAATCGAGAGTATCGGCACACAGTGTTGCCGAACCGAAAAAGATAAAATCGGTTAACAGTGTCGATGAAACTCAGTAGATTGAAGGATAAAAACGGTAGGAGGAAAAAATCAGGACCTTCTCAAGATCCGCGATGGATCAAGGGATTTGCAGCTTGTGTCACGCGGCGCCGTCTATGAAAAAAGTATATTTTTGTATTGGGCGCACAAAAACAACACAACAAAAAACTCTCAAGTAACTTATACAAGGAGCATACTGGTCGCTCTTCAAACTGCTTTGCAACTATCGTGGAAACTCCTTCCGCCATACGTGTTTATAAGATTCTGACTATTCTGATTATTGATTAAAATCGTGGAAAATGAAGACGTTGTCGGTATTTCGGTAAAAACCGAAAAATCGGTAGGTTCCGCAATACTGCCGGCACAGTTACAGAGTCTGATCAAAATCGACCTAACGGTTTTAACTATATTTTGAAAGAGCTTCTCAAAATACACTGTCATTTTATCAATGAGATATTTTGCGAGATATGAACTTTTATCATTCGAATGACTACTTAAGAAACTTAGACTTGGGGGCAACGAAAAACTAAACTAACCAGTGGGCTATAAATTCTTTGCACCTAATTCTATGCAGCGCCTACACTGATGTGTTAATCAGTTGTGTTATTTATATTTTCGATTTCTCTTTGTTTCGTTGATTAACACATGAACAGTGATTGAAAACACCATTAATTCGAACCTAAACAAATGGTATTCATCGAGGTGCGCGTAGATGTAACTATCTTCCTTTTGTTCATTCAAATTCATAATTATCAATAATTAAATGTAGCGCTTAGGCAAGCTATGGTATTCGTACTGACGATTTGAATGGATAATTGTGTTGATATGCAATAATACCGGCTGAGACGATGCTAGCATGCTAATCAGCGATGAAAAATGATCGGAATGCTGGCATATTTATGCGTCAGAATTGCATATGAACTCTCTGTGATGAGAATATTCATCATACTTGCCATATTTTCTTCATAAAGGTTTTCAGAAGACAGATGAAAATACTATTTAGATTTCGTTTGGAGCTAAAACTAAAAGGCTTGCCTGAATATGTTTTCTTTCCGTGTTTGTCACCATGACCAACCGCGTAGGACGTTGTTTCATGATTTTTTGCAATCATCAGTAGGGTATAGGTCCAGTCATGTGGAGACAGATAAAAGCAAACCAACAAGTGGATATGTCTACTGAAAAACTTGATATGTTGTGTCATTGATTAACGAATTATACCTCAAAATAGCCCTTACCTAATGCTACATTCTCGAGTCCAAAAAATTATCCGACAGCGTCATCTTTGAGAATTTGTCACAGCTGTTTCTTTATTTACCATATATACTTTGAAAATGTGAGTGTCTCAGATGATGCTGTAGTCACCTATACGCTTGTATATGCTCATAGAGACAGCATCATCTTTATTATAATATTAGGCTGGCTAGAACACATTAATCAATGGTTGTGCGCATATGCCACAACATGACAACTGACAGATGCAGATATTTCGGTCCATACGCTACATGTAGAAGATCCCTATGAATCTGGTCTAGGGTGACAGTTACCGTAAAATGCGGAAGACATACATTTGATATTTGAGACATAATTTTCGAAACAGCATGTTAATCTGGCCGAGTTGCTGCACCAATTACGAAAAATAAAATTAAATGAAAACGAGGTCCAGGAAGGAGACATAAATATCTGCAAAATGTGTCGTCACGGACACGTCAAAGATAAACTAGGGATGCATTTGCAATGGTTTACGTTAGCGCTGCAGAAATAAGAATCAGCACATACTGTTTCCCCAAATAAGCAATGTTTTTTTTAGTTATCAAGGTTTTCTAAAGTATTATGTCACGTTTTTCTTTCAAGGTTTAAAAAACTTACATATTTACGTTGTTCTGAGAATTCTTGGTATGCTTACCTGCAAAAAACAAGAAAATACTTTTAAATGCATATTGAATACAAAAAATAATGCGACGAGTTTCTATACAAGTTATTTGCTAACAAATTAAGAAAAAGCGACCTTCAAGTGATTCTCGTGTTGATATAATGAAAGCAGTATCAAATACAAACAGACAAGATTTTTGATTAAAAAACTGTACTGAAATCGGTACATCCATTTGAGAGTTTGCGAGTTGTGGTTTACAGAACATACAGAAAAATGGGTCTAACGTTTGGACGTCCTGACCGATTTACATTAAAATATCGATTAAGTAATCTATAAATCACACCTGTTCATTCAGATGGTACTCAGTACCCCATTCGGGCATATTAGCTTACTCTGGGTTGTTTACTCCTAAAATCACATCGCATAACTTCAAACACCTGAACCGATTTTAATCAAACATAGCAAAGAACTATCTTGACACGGTTGGTTGGAGGTTGGTGGATCATGGAAAGCCACCTTAACAAATAAGCAGTTATTATTCCGTTTTTTACTGATATATTATTTATTCAATTTCAGTTTTATTAGACTCTTCCGAGCGGTCTTTCAAGGTATATGGTTTTTCAATAGCTATGTCCGAAATTTGGCAACACCTTGCACTCGACGTTTCAGGTGACACAGTTATCATTCCTCAATGTTTGTGTTCTGTCATATTCACGATTTTACCATGGAGCGCTACACTGTAGAAGAACGCGTAACAAGTGTTAAAATGTATTATAAAAATTGGTGTTCTATTCGTCAAACTTTTCGCGAGCTACGAAATATTTACGGCCTAAATAATCGTCCAAATTCGAGCAAGACGGTTCGGTTGCAGATCGATCAGTTCCTGCAAGATGCATAAACGCGCGGACAAGCGAGAATATTGTTGCTGTTGCCGAAAGTGTAGCTGAGGACCTTACGTAAAGACTTGGGCACATATCCATATAAGATCCAGTTGTCGCAAGAACTGAAGCCCTAAGACCACCAAGAGCGTCGTACATTTGCTGACTGGGCTCTGGAACAGTTGGGAGTGGATCCAGATTTTGGCAAAAAAATCATTTTCAGTGATGAAGCACATTTTTGGTTAAACGGCTTCGTGAATAAACAAAATTGCCGCATTTGGGGAGACAGTAATCCACAACAGTATCAAGAGTCTCCATTGCTTCCGGATAAACTTACTGTTTGGTGAGGGTTTTGGTCAGGCGGCGGTCATTGGCCCGTACATCTTCTGAAACCAGAATGACGAGACGGTAAACGGCGCCCGGTATGGGGCCATGATAACTCACTTTTTATGGCCTCAATTGGACGATATGGACCTGAACGACATGTGGTTCCAACAAGACAGCGCAACGTGTCACACATCGGCCATTACCTTCCAGTTGTTGCAAGAAAAGTTTCCAGGACACGTTATTTCGTGAAGAGGCGATGTGGAATGGCCGCCAAGATCGTACGACTTAACGCCCTTAGACTTTTTTCTCTGGGGTTACATTGAATCGCTGGTTTATGACAACAAACTAACAACAATTCACCAACTGGAGAACAACATCATTCAAACCATTGGTGAGAAATACAGCCCAACTTATGCGGCAGAGTTTTACAAAATTGGACCTCTTAGATCGAGTCCTGTAAACAAAGCCACGGAAGCCATTCGAATGATGTAATTTTTACAACGTGATGCTACTGAATGTACTTTAATACGCAATTAAAGTTTCCATCATATGTCGCACATAACTCGTTTTATTCAATTTTAAATTTCAGACACACTTAATGAAAAACCCTTTGCAAGGCTCCATACAAGGCCAATATAATAGATTAACCGCTTATCTTAAAACTAACATTGTGATCAAAATATCTGTTTTTAATACTTATACTATAACTATATGTAAAGATCTTTCATTAAAAAGAAACATTTAATACCTTAAATATTAAATTTAAAAAAAAAATCAATGCACATTACTCGAAAACTATCATGAAACTAAGAATGTATACGTGAATATGTTTTAAAAATAATTTTAAAGAGGGGCCCGTTCCTTGGGCCAAAATTTTCCAGATGGTGTCAGAAATATACAATTCGGTGAAAATTAAAAAAAAAATGGTTTTTCTATGAGTTCCTATTATAATCTCAACGTCGACGACCGGAGTCAACAAACTGAGGGACCGCATTGAGAAAATACCGACGCAAGCGCCTTGCCGCCGGCACGGGTATTACGTATCTTGAAAAGTGACATTTTGACAGTTTTTTTTGGCACTTCGTAGGTTTTTTGTGACATAACGTAGGTTTATCTACAAGATGTTAACTTAGCACAAGCTACTGTACACTTGTTGTGAATTCGTTTTGTAGCTGTACGTGTTGCTTGAACATAGCGTGGAATGAACTACATATTTGCACACTAAAAACTAGCTATAGTGGATACCAAATAAAACCCGATGCACGTCATCGATCTGGAGCTGTGCGCTGTTGCCAGAATTGATATGAGCTCTTTACACCGACTGTTAAGTTGTTTTGGCATTTTGGATACTTTATACCACTTCACAGTAACTTTTGTTCTGAGAAGAACAACTTTTAATTGGCAAGGCAACGATTCAAAGCTCAAATAGCGCAAAACTCACAAACTAAACAATAAAGAACTAATAGTACGACAAAAGGACAATGGCAACTGATGTCAACAAATGAGAACTGGCAACCTCACATTTCTCTGCACGGCACTACCAACCGAATCGAGACGGGGAAATTTAAACTTCAAGTAGAAATGTCACATTGAATGTAGTCAACTGTTGGTAACCATGATTTTTATGAATGACATGACCTATGACGTGCATCGGATTTTATTTGGTATCCACTATAGTCTGCAAGATGACATTTCGACCGTTTTTTTTTACGTTTTTAAGGTTTCTTACATAATACCCCTGCTGATCTGTGTTCTTGAGTTCGTTGGGTGTAAGTGTACGAGGAAGTAATTTGTGATCACATGGCAATAACTACGACTTTTTAAGAAATGGCTTTTCCATGGCACAAACACACATACTCAGACTAAACTTGCATCGGGGATTAAATATATCCCACAGGGCTTCCCGAAACCTGTTTCGCTTGAAATAACTTTTTAACAACACTATACTATAATGCAACCAAACTTTGACCGCATAGCAACTAGCAGTTGGGTCTGGTAAACAATTAAATCGTTCAGATCGCCAGCGACATACCGGTTTCAAATATTGCTGATATTTTTTTCATTCGTAAATAATTGCACAAAAATTATATTGTTGAAAAAACTAACCGTTAGCTGGAAAAAATATAATTGATTTCGAGAAAAATACACTGCAGTCGATTCCTAAAAAGCTCTGCAAAAATCTTGAACATTAAGTAAAAATTAAATCCTGCCTTTTTGGGTTGTTGACTATACATCTAATAACGGAATTAATGTTTTCAAAATGGCGGACCCAGCTTATTTAATCAAGCACCATAACTGATAAGGACTGTTTCTTAGAGGCGATTCATTCCATCGATGTAAAGCAGATTTTTTTCGGCCAAAGGATCAGACTTTCTGAATATGCTGCTGAAACATATTGAGGAAACTTTTCATATCACATACGTATCATTCCCAGCGAAAACAATGCACATCAGGGAGACGCTACGAAAACAAAGTAATCTTTCAACGGGTGACCCCTTGATACTTGATCTCTCACATTCCAACGAATACCAAGAGCAATCTATTTTTTTCACTTTGATTTATCTTACTTGTATAAATTTAGCCCAACTGATAAACAACCAAGAAACAAAGTCTTACATATAGCGCGGCTTCCAGAAAGAAGGAATGTCTTAGAATAAATATTTTTGTACGTAGGTTATAAATGGTAGGATTTATTGAAATGAGAAATGTTAGGAATGTGATAAGCTTTAGAATGTTTTACAATTAATTATAAAACTGAGATAGAGAAATAATACACTACTAGGGGAAATATTTTATTGAATCCAGAGAAAAATTAATAACCGTCTGAAACGACTCCGAAAAAACCTTGTGGGGATAGTTGTCGGCTATTTTTTAATAAGTTGGTATATTGTAAACAGCAGCATGTATAATAAGAGTGTCCATGGAACCAAACTTTTTCCTCGAGTTGTTTCTGGCAGTATGTACTCTGTTACGACGTCTTGTGGGTGGATGCACGACATGTAATGGTTCTGTATTACAAAGGAGCAAAAGCAATCAACCAAGATCTTAGGCGCCATTGGGCCCCTTATACGTCCAGCTGAGTTTCCCTTACGCGAGCGATAGCAAGGCCAACGTTCCCCATAATACATTTAATAAGGTGTACCAGAAGGCTCAGTACGGGGACCGGTAATGTTTTTACTTTACACTGCAGATTATTCTGAATAAAAGCATCAACACTCAATTGTGCCAATGTCTAGTTATATCAAAAAGCTTATATGGTTTATCCATATATTTCCTTTGTCTGACATCTATCAACGCATAACGTTTGCAGATAATACAGAATACCAGTGTAAGGTTATATTCTAAACTTTACCCGCAGGATTTTACTAACATCATCCCCTCAATACCTAAGCTATAAACTTGTTCCAAGGGCATCTGTGTATAATTTTCAGGTTTGTACAATTTTATCTTACAACAGTCTTCCCAGAGTTTCAAAGTACAGTTAAAAAGATTTACAAGTATTGCAGAGCAACTTAAAAGTTCTTTCGTTTTCATACTTTGTATTTTTCCGTTTCTTCATAACCTACTGTCTCTTCAGCTTTTTATAGCTAAATCAGCATTTTTCTATTATATTTTTTTTTGTTTTTGTATAACTAGCAGATGCTAAATCTAACCCCATGTCATGTATCATTTTTTGGTCAATAAATACGATTATTATTATCTTCCTCTTCACATCCTCTACAAAATGATGTGTAACCCAGTCTCATGTTATAGACAGGCTTCCTTAGCTAACGGTGCCAGTTACAAGCCGAAGATGTTGTCTGGACATAAGCAGGTAGTTTTTTATTA